CTTATTTTCCTCCCTGAAGTGACCAATCACAGCTTGAAGCCAACCCCTTATCCACCTAATGATAAGGATACACAATTCATTGAATGACCAAAAACCACCCACTCTACCTCTTGGGAATGTGGGTGTTGTGTTCTCAAAATTACTTCCTGTTGTCTGGGAGTGACAGCATCTTTAGGGAACCCTGAAACAACCTGAATAATGGTCAAATCCTAGGAGAGTCTCTGAATGATGGGAAAATGCAGGGCTTAACTGAGCTCAAGTAGTCTATAAGGCTGGGCCATCTCAGCTAGCCACTCTGAAATTGTTCTAGGTGCAGATTTTTGAAGAAACTGCAACAGAGGCATTCTGAGAGGCTGGATCACTTGGGCTACTTGTCTTCTTGATGTTTTATCCTTTTATTCTGAAAACACACATACTTTTAACAGTAACATACATGTCTGTGTTAATAGAAGTGTAGAATGTGAGATATGTGTATATCAGCTAAAGATAATTTTCTGCTCTATGTTTGGACAGGTAAAAGGCATCTGTCAACTCTATAAGCTATTTAGACTGCATAACCAAACTATAATATAAATCTCCATCCATGCTATATGAAAGGATGACATGTAATTATAACTCATGAGGATTCTATAACCAACAAGATTTATCATGTCTCATCTAGTCTTAGAGCTGTTTCCATAGTAGAGGGATCAGCATATATGTCACCTGCCTTATAGCTTTTCTTTGTTTCTTTTGTTATGTCTGTAGCCAGTTTTCCCTGGTCAGATCTCATCCGTATTAATTTTGAAGGAATCCCTACCTTTTCATTTCCTGTGGAAACAAAGGCATAACTTTCCCCTCAATTCAACACATTTTCTGACTTTCATTCTAAAGTTAAGACATCCTTAAAATATACAAGTTGGGTTAATTTAGTAGTTTCCATAATCCAATGTCTCTCAGCATCTGCTGCTTTTTATCATTAGCATTTAAAAGATTTAAAGTTAATAAGGCAGTATATATAGAATTCAGACATTCTATTTCATGATATTTCCCATCCTCATGTGGCTTATTTTTAAATGTTAATTTATTTCTTTTTTAAAGATTTTATGTTATGATTTTAAATTATTTTTTATGACTGCCTATACTCATTTTCTTTTCTTTATTTGCCATCTATGCATATGTTCAACCATATTATACCTGTTCACAGCATTTCTTGGTCTAGACCTGAATTTCTACTCATCTGCAAACTTCTATGTCTCTGTGTGGCAAATCTTAAGCAGATAGGCTATTTGTGGCATGGCTCAACCTAGCATATAGCACTTGTCACTGGCTTCCCAATGCTGAGAATTTGTGTTCACTGTACGGCAGCTGTTTGTATTCTGACTGCTCAAGTACACAGTCTCTTAAGTGTGGGCTTCTTAAAGGAGCCACACCTCTATATACCATAAGCACAGTACTTAGTTGAGAGATGGTGGTTACTAAGAAGCATGTCTGCCTCTATGTTAAGACATTTTTTGTTCAGCTTTCTCAGGCTGTGTGAATATCCATGACCTCCTGTGTCCCAAATAAGGCATTTCATACTTTTTAGAATTTATTTGGACTGCCAGCCCCCCAAAAGATGACAAAGAAACTTATTATTAGTTACAAAAACTTGTTCTTAGCTTAAATTCTTCCCAACTAGCTCTTAAAACTTAACTTAACTCATTTATATGAATCTAGATTCTGCAACATGGACCTTTAGCTATTTCCCCTCTGTACACCGAATCTCTCTGTGTCTGACTGGAAAATCACTCATGCCTCAGATTCTTTCCAAGTTCCTGTCTCTCCCCAGAAGTCCTGCCAATATCACCTGCTCATCTATTGACCATTGAGCTCTTTATTAAAACAATCAGAAGATGATTTAGTAAGAGACGCACCTTTTCAATTCACAACACTGAATGGAGAGGCTTAGTAGGTAGCCCCATATTTAAAGCAGGCTGAAGGGGGCATACTCATGAAAATTCGTACATTCAGGAAGATGAGAACTAGAATGTGAGAGTTTCCATAAAGGTATCCTGGGACAACCCTAGCATCAAGCAAACATTAAGCAAACTGTGTAATTAGAAGAGAAGCAGTCATCACTCACTTTAGCTCTAGGACAGACATGTTTATAGATGGCAAATGATCTTGTTTTGACCATCTCCAAATGATCTTGCCTAATGTTGCTTTTTTATGAGGTTATGAATATCCAGTAAGGCATTGTGGGCCAGCCATGTGCATCAGGCCAGCTTGTTGAAATGAATCTTAGATCTAAACGCCAGGCAAACCACAAGATGTCAACTGCTGCTTTGATCTTTCACATGGATGGTGCCTGCTTCTGAAGTCACAAGAAGTTGTCCTATTGTTGTATTTAGGTGAGGTTGGGTAGTACTCCTGAAAATCACTCTGTCTCAGCCTTGGTTCCTCTGAGAGGCACCTCCATATCTGACATCACTTTTTGGCAATTACTTCCAGTCCTCTATGCTTGTTGGTTTCAGTAAGGCCCCTATGCCAACAATTTCCCTGTATCTTCACTTAGAAAGAATTGCACTGTGTTGAGATTTGTAATTTCCTCCTTGACTTTGAATTTTTTACTATATTGTGACTCATATCCACAGTGTTTGGTTTTGTAGGTTCAGATTCAGGGAGAACTCAAGCTGTCTTCTTGACCTGTGAGCAGCCAAAGCTCTTTCTTTGACTTTCTCTGGATGGTAGTCTCATCCCTCATGGTGGCATTGTCAAGCCATTTCTTTAGCAGAGTGGAGGATTGTAACTGCTATTTAATTTTCTGAGTATTTTTAAACATAGCTAATGTTGTGTACAGATTCTTTTTGTCTCTTAAATGTCAAGATTAAAAATGAAAATCTGAGCATGGAAGTACATGGATGTAGTTGCAGACACTTATGAGACTGACCAGAGAATGACTTGGACCTAGAAATTTCAGGCTGGCCAAGGAAACAGCCATCAGGATGTGGGGTGGGAGGAATGAAGGGGTTACAGCATAATTGGTTGTCTTTCTAAATAGTGTTTTGCTTTATTTTAGCAAAGCACACCAATAACTCAAGTGAGAAGCCATGAGCTTGAAGCCAATATAATCTATTGATCTAGGGGTCATAGCATGCTGTGGCAAGGTAGGCAGCCATTTCTCTTTATCGTTTGTGCCTCTAGTGACCAAAACATTATTTTTTCCAAGGTGTACATCTGAATCCATGCTGTATAGGCATGGCCTCAGAGGCCTTTGTGCTCCATGCCCTGTTGAAAAAGAGGCTCTGTGGATTGAGGAAGTGTGCAGCATGTCTGTTTTCCTATGGTCAATATAAGGTCACTGAAACAGGAGAACCTATGAATAGGCAGCACTCATTGAGGCTTGATATTATTGCAGAGGTGGTAAAACCTGAAACTCAGGTTCAATTCTGGTACATGAGGAAGGATGTTGGCTACAGGACCCAGCAAGTCTGCTCATCCACTCGCTGGCATTTTCACATTTATTGGACAGAGAGACATATATGTAACTGCAAGGGTAATCATTTATTGAATAGGTACAGGAAGACATTCATGCAGAGTTGTCATGGGTATGACAAAGAGACATTTAAAATAAATCCTTTGTTTCTGGATGAGTCATCTTAGATAATCAGGGAAGATGCTGGGGATGTAGGGTTTATGCTTTCCTGGGGGACATAGATGGCAATCGGATCACAGGACTTGTCATAGAACAGAGTGTGGACAGGAAGGCATGATGTTAGAGTCCAGGTTAGGAGTCCCCACTCAACACTGAGGAAGCCAGGAAGAAAGAATGCAGACACTCATTAAGCACTGCTAGAGCTGGCTTCAGGACATAGAGCCATTCTGTCATACACAGTAAAGTATGACGACACAGACCTTCCCTGACCACAAAACTGATGTTATCGACCAGTATACAGAACAAAAGGCATAGAATAAATAACATTTTCCTTATTGATACCATATGGAAAATAACAATAATGAAAGATCCTAGGCTTGTTCCCAGTATCTTTTGCATAAGAAACTCTGTTGTGTGATATTTGTACATTGTGGGAAGATATGTCACTGTGATTGTTTTTAGAAAGAGATAAATGAACATTAAATAGGCAGGACAATTAGGGGGGACTTAAAGGCAGATAAAGAGAGAGAGAGAGAGAGAGAGAGAGAGAGAGAGAGAGAGAGAGAGAGAGAGAGAGAGAGAGAGAACAAACTCAGGGAAGAGGAATGGGCAGGGTTTTCAGCCAGAGGAACAGGAGAGGAAACAGGAGGTGCAAGATGGATGAGAGGTAACCCCATGTGAGTGTAGATTAATGTAAATGGGTTAATTTATGTTATAAGAGCTAGGTAGCATCAAGCCTAATCTACAGGCCAAACTGTCATAATTAATATAAAGTCTGTGTCATTATTTGGGAGCTGGCTGGTGAAATTGAGAAGGGCTCATTATACAAAGTTATGAAGAAATTACAATACATTGAGGCTTAATGATTAAAGCATCTTTAAAGGCTTTCACATATCATCAGAATGAAGCCTTGGAATGAATGGAAAAGAGAATAGATGAAGGAAATCATGGTACTCTTCAGGCTGGAGGAGAAATGCAGATTATGATGGTCTATTCCCATGGAAGGGTTAGGATATAAAGACCTCACAGGAAGATGTTATTATCAGGAGTGGGAGTGAGGTGGACCCAGCCACTGGTGAACATCTACATTCACATTCTTAATGACTATTCATGCTTTGCTGAGCACTTTTCACACAAAAGTACAGCATCTATGTCCATCCAAATCCTTGTTTCCTTACTTAAACACTTGGGTCACTTACTGGAAAGCTCATCACAGGACTAAATCATAAACCCAGAAATTTGGAAACCAAATTTCAATCTCTCCTCAAAGCTTCCTTATCAATTATTTTTATTATACTTTTAGGGCACAATACAATGCTTTTGAAAGGGTCTCATTTGTGCTCAGCCACTCTTCATTCTCACTGGAGATTACCCATCTGGAGGCTCAGGTCATTCTTCCAACTTGGGCCTGGAGACAGTGATCTGCAAGGTATGAATAAGAACACATTCAGGTACCAGGTCCAATTTGTTTCCACAAGGGATATTACATGCTTCTCTAGGGGCAACACATGTCTGGTTGCTTCTTGGTATGTTCTTTCCATGATATAAAACAGGCAATAAAAATGTGTGAGTCCTGACTTACCAGCCTCAGTTAGGTCTAATATATTTTCCTTAAAAATTCCCTGCTTCTTGCATAGATCCCCAAACTTTTTCTTGATGTTTGAACTCAACTTTGGTTTCTGGCCTGTGAAAAATAATGGTGACAGTAGTGATTGCATCTTGTGTATTGACCACATTCACAGAGCTGAATAATGAATGGGACAGGGCCCCTCCAGAAGGATGAGAATATGATTGACAACATGATTATCAGGCATGGACATAACCTGTCATGAATTTAGCATTCATAGGATATCTTACTGGCATAGTGTGTGCTTTCAGAGACCTCCACCCCCACCACTGTGCCTGAGGGATGACAGAGGTGACCATTTGTCTGCAGTAGATAAGGAAAACGAGGCAGTTTGGGGCCAGGCTGGAAAAACCATGTTAAACCTAGGGTTTCTTTCTTCTCTTCTCCCATCCCATGACCAGTGTCTGTGGGAAAATACTCTACCGTAGAGCTTCATCCTTTGGAATGTTTCCCCATTCTTGATATTTCTGAGATGAATTATAATATAATCATCATGGTCTGTATCAAGTATTGTAAATCTATTATATCCGTTATCTGTGGAAGAAATGGAACACAGCTGAAAAAATTTTTGGTCCACAGGAAATTATTGAAACCTTTTACCTATTCTATATCACAAGTAAAATCAAAATGCATATTCTAATAGAGATTGGCGAAAATGTCTGGTGCTTTCTATCCATACTTCTTTGGATATCTTGAAGAAAACTCTAGTGAACAATTAGTCACAGTAGCCACTCTCCTCTCAAAGCCTGTCTACTTCAATCAGCAGCTTCCATTGATCTCCATCTGCCCTTCATAAGCTCACTGTATTATGTACCTGCTGCTGCATCCTGAGTGATGTGGACTGGTGGCATCCACTGGGGCAGAATCAGACAGAAGACAGGAGACAAGAGACCATCTTACCTTACTTGTTCCACCTGCCCAAGAATGGGATGCTAGTTATTAGATGACCTCTGTTGCATTAGCTAAATAAACAATGATCAGCAACCAACTGAGTGTCTGAAGAGGGTTGAGGTGTTGTTCAGCTGTAGAGAGTTTGACTAGTATGACCCTGAGTTCAATTCCCAACAATAAGGCAAATGTGCTCACACAGACACACACACCCACAATAGAGATATTAGGGTTTTTATAAGTTCCTTATGGATAGATATGTAGACTTTTTGTATACTTACATTTGACATCATATACACCAACCTCTTCTGTTTTGTCACATACTAAATACAGCTCTGTGCACTCTTCATTGACACTGTGAAATAGAATCAGCTGGTGCTTACGGGTACTGCTCTGGCTGGCCCCCTTAGCCTCTGTTCTACCCAAATCTCCCATTTCTAATTCCACTTAACTTTCGAATGTTGTTGTAAAATGAGCAAAGTCATTCATTTGTGTTATTTCACTTATACTTAATACTTTACTAATCACATGTTTGTTTATCATTTAGAAAAAGAATGACAATCACTTCAAATCACTGTCACAACTGTGACTACTTCCCATTGTCACTCACTTGTGCAGATTATCACCCAGATGTCCAGCATCTGCATCAAATTAGTGCTTTCAAACACTGCCCATTGTGTACCTCCAATCTACAGAGAATTAATACGTCCTTTAATGCAGTTGAAGGGGTGAAATTTCATGGCTAACAACTAGACAGAAGTATTTAACTCGTGATAATCTACATTTAAGCTGTGCTATACATCTCATTCATTATGGTTTCAGAAATTCCTCTGACCTTTGCTTATTAAATTCCTAGTAAATTTGTTCCTGTCACCAATGCTATTCTCTGACTTTTGAAAACACCCCAGTTTTGAAATCTTGTTTTAGTATCTGTGTGTGTGTGTGTGTGTATCTGTGTTTGTGTGTGTACCTGTACATGTAATGAGGGCCATATGTTTCTTTGTGTATATATTTGTGTGTGTGTGTGTGTTCTTGTGTGTGTGTGTTCTTGTGCATGTGTGAAGGCCTGAGATCATGACAGGCTTCCATTTCTTCTTTCTCAGATAAGAACATCTCACTTACATGGTATGGAATTTAAAAGCTAAGGACGAGTAATTGAAGAGATGAATGTATTCCACAAACATTCTCATGCTTCCATGTTCCTCTATCATTTCTCTTTTGTCAGAGGCCAAAAGTGTCATACAGACACAATTAGCAGTTCTCTGGAAATAGCAAAGATACCAGACATGCATTTCTCAGAGCCTGAAAGCAAATAAGATCTGACAATGTCTGTGCCTTATGTCTCAGATAGGATGTGACTTTTAAAACAAATATCTGGGCAGAACTTATGAGGCAGTAAGTGTTAATGGAGTAAGGGGCTGTGATTTCTAAACGGGAGATGGGTATTAGTAAATAAACTACATTTGTGTGGCTAGTTAAACTAGAAATTTGTAATTCGTAAATGTAGAAAAAGTGAAGAAAACTTGGCAGTGCTGTGCACTGTCTGAGCACCTTCTGCTTCCCTCTGTGGGGGCTGGGAACATAGTTTCATTGTAACCATGGAAACTGGCATAACCTATGGTAGAAAAATGGACCCTGGATCACATCAGCATTTTTGACAAATATTATTACAATCATCCAGAACTAGATAAAACAGAATGGCTACTTGAAATCTTGAGGAAGCTGCTGTGGAGTAAGCAGCAGAGCACTCATACTGCTGATGCCCTGGTGAAAGGGAATTCTGTTTCTGTAGGTGGTTAAGCAATCCAATGCATTTTGCTGTATCTCTAGGGGAAAAGGCACAAGCAGGTAATTTCCTAAACTAAGATCTTGTATCAGTGAAACTGAGAAGGAGATGAGTCCAGAATATTAATAGCTTCTTAATGTAGAGCAGGGACCAGTACGTTAACTCTCCTGAGTTGACTATTAGAGAATTCAAGGATGCCTATGCTTGCTTGTCAACGGGGGAAGACAGGGCGCATTGCCAACTCAGTGCCTGTCTTTTGAAGCTCTGAATGTGATCTATTGGCATGCCTCCTCTCCTTGCAGGATGTCCTGCCATAAGACATAATTGTAGGGAGCTAATGTCTAAGTTATGTGGTTTTGACTATGAGAAAAAGGTTTCTTTGACTGTGTGAATACTTTCACATCAGGGCCCCATAGTGTGGGGGAAGGTAATCCAGTTTACCAGTACACATGGGAGTTGTGCCCAGTAATTGTCTAATACACTGCTGGTGTTTTGTGGGACAAATCCCACTATAGAATGGGGAGCACTGTAGTTTCACAAGGGTTTTATAGAAGTGACAGTTGACTATACAAAAGGCAGGTATCATCAAAGCTCTGCAAATTGGATTTCATACAATGGAATTCATGATGATCCTGGTGGTTCAGACTCATGATTTTGTCGATTGATATCTCCCTGTATAATGCTGTGGCCTGAAACAGAGGAGACCCCAGGTTCAGTTCCCAACACTCACATGGCAACTGACTGTAACTTCAATTACTGGGGATCACACACCTCCTTTTGACCCCTGTGGCATCCTTCCCACATGTGGTACATATAAACTCATGTAGGCACACACACACACACACACACACACACACACAAATAATAAATATTTTTAAAAGTTTTAAAGACTATCAAGGGAAGATTTCCTGAGGCTATGCTGACAGACCCCCAAAGCTTCTCAAACTTTGTTCATAGAATACTGGCACCAGAACTCAAAGTTCTAAGGTAATAGTCAAGTTGCATCAGCAGTTTTTAAACTTAGAGACAATTGGACTTTAACAAACAAGGCATAATCTCATCATTAAAGAAAAACAATGTTTTTCAATGTCCTACTTGCTGACAGAGTTCCAAGCATAAATTATGCCAAGAGTCTGCTTACAAAGACATAGTTTAATGGGAACATATTTTTTATCAGTACAAATTTCATTTACCCTGTAACTTGAAACATAAAATTGTGTCTGTTTTCAGGATATAAAGAACTTAAGAAAGAAGCAGGTACTTAGGTTTTATCTTATTTCAACATTGTATAATATGGTATGTATTATTTTGTTCATTTTACCATAGTATGAATTAAAACTGAGAAAGATTAAGATATGGTGATATATTTTTATGATCTAATAAAGCTTTCCTGGATCATAATGTAATGCTAGTCACAGTCAAAGAGGCCAGGCAGTGTGGGGACACCAGACCTTGAGCAGAAACCCACTTCCCCTTTGGCCTGGGAGCAGGCAGCTGCGAGATAATGTTTACTGAAAACAATTCAGTGCTATAAACTCTTGATAGGGCTCAGATAAGGGCTCACTCACTGAAACACCATGACTTTGATCCCCCCTAAGGCTAGATGTTCCTTCCTGCTCCCTGCAGTGTCTCCCTGATTCTGGGGCCAGAGATTAAATCACCAGCCAGGAGGGTGAGAAGTCTGTGAGAGGTGTGTGAGAGCTCGGTTGGAGAATTGTATGTAGATGGATGGCAGAAGTCTTTAAAAAGGGAAGCATTTTTTTCTTGGGAGTTCTCCTAAGCGGACTTGGGGGTCTCCTCCTAAGCTGACTGGGGAAGCATAAAGTTTTCTTAAAGCAACCGACCGGTGTCTGTGTCATCTATCCCGACCACCTCGCTACATTCTGGGATGCAGGCTACACAGCAGGTGCGACAATGGGAGTTTCCCACCGAGATCATGAAAGTGAGGTAAGTGAGCTGGTTAGTCTCTTTTTCTGGCCAGGGACAGATTGGGGAAAAAAGAAAAGAAACCATGGGGAATAGTTCTGGGAAGCTTAAATTACAGTATCAAGTTAAAAAGTTACTTGAAGGACATGGGACTACAGTAAAGTCTAAAACCATGGAAGGCTTTTTAAAATGAATTGAACGTGCGAGTCCATGGTTCATTACTGGGGGAGGCTTAAATGTCCCAGATTGGAAGGATGTTCGCTATGATCTTTAGAGTCGGGTGTTGGTGGCATATGCCTTTAATCCCAACACTCGAGAGACAGAGGGAGGTAGGATGGAGGCCATCCTTGTCTATAGAGTGAGTTCCAGGACAGCCTCCAAAAGGATAGAGAGAAACCCAGTCAAAAAAGGAGGGTAAAATAAGAAATAAAATAAAAAATCTCCAGTCTTTCACCTGATCCACTGAGGTCAGGAAAGTAAAGAAAAACTCAGAGATCTAAAAGGATAGCCAACAAGTAAGGCTATAAATATGTATTAAAAAGGGAGTACCAAGCTAGGGGTACCAAATTAAATGTCTAGGCCTTTGCCTGACAAAGGTCAGAAACCTAAGATAAAAAGTTGCCCTCAGTTGGAGGGTGGATTGGAGGATCATCCTCAATGGGAGGATAGATTAAAGATGGGTAAATTAAAAAAATTGGTAAAGTTAATAAATGAGGTATTAGTATTCAGTAAAGAAAAAGACAAAGGTATATAAAATAAAAATGTTTACATTTATATGGGGTAGGTTATTGATACAAATTTAAGGTTAATTTTGTGAATCATCTCTAAAAACTTTTGACAAAAGCCTGGCCTTTCAACTTTGCATCTACAGAATTACAAGGAGTGGGTATGGCTGTAGCCCCTGAGTGTAGCTCAAAACTTCTCAAATGAAGAAATGATGAGGGACATACAGGACTTTTTCAACCTTTTGTGTTAATTCAAAGATTGACTGGAGTTGTTCTGTTAAAGAAGTTTCAGTTCAACAAACTAATCATAACCTAGGCAAAAGGAGAGATATGTATACATGGTCTGTATGTATGGACATGGCCATGTCAGTATGCATGAAGTGTGAAATGTAAATGCATGAATGTTGACAAAAGCAACTGTTCTAACTGCCTTGGATATGATTCAAGGGATACTTAAATTCCTTCAAACAGTTAAAAACTACCTAAATCGATTTAGATATAGCCAAAAGAAACATCAAGTCAGTCGGTTAATATTTTAACAAAAAATTCAAGTTAAGCCCTCAGAGCCAGTCAATTAAAAAAGAGAGAGAGAGAGGTTTTTTTTTCAGGGAACTGCCCTGCCATTTTGGCAGACCCCACCCCCAAAGGTGTCTGTGTAGATGCAAATTAGGCCTTGTCAGTTCAGATGCAAAGGAGTTCTTGTCAACTAGTGAGAGCTACAGGTTAGGAAAAAAAAGGGACTATTTGGGACATAGTATAGTTTACAATCTTTAAATGATTCTCAAAGGTACTCAATGGTTATGTCCCTTTTAAAGGACATCTACTAATAATTTAATTAGTGATCCCAATTCACCTAGATATTTGGCTAAGGAGGGTAGACAAATCCTTCTACTGTTGTGGTCCAACTTCAACAGTTCATACAAAATTTAAAAAAATAAAAAAGGGGGAGTAATGTCCCCAGTCCCCACATGATTCATTGAATAATCCACTCCTCATTTTAAAATTTTTAAAATTTAAAGGCCAGTGAGCAATCTGCTTCAGACAGATTCTGGCATAATGAAACTTGAGCAACTATTGCTCAGGTCAAATGAAAACATCCATACACTAGACAGTGGAGAAAACCCTAATTTGGGGTCGAGGGCATGTTTGTGTTTTCTTGCAGGAAAAGAATAAAGCTTCAGTAGCTGTCACAACATTTGATGAGATGCATGGAACAGAGAAAACTGGACCTGAGACCTTGGGAGCCTGCCCAAACCAGTTCGAGATCTCCTAAATCGGTGTTCCTGACCCTTGATGTCATCAAATCTACAGCCTGAAAAAAAATAAAACAGTCAGTTCGAGATTTCCAGTTTCTCATCAGGCCTGCTACATCAACCTCGTGGACCCGTGAGTTTTCATCCCAAAGCCAACAAAACTGGGATATTAGCAGTTTGCCTTAAACACCTTAAAACAACAGAATTCATTTTGCCAGTTTTTCCCCTTGGGGGACAAAAGGACCCATTTAAAACATTTGGACATTGGTATGGACTGTGATGAGTGGCAAAATCCTCTTTTCAGTATTTGAACAGGACATGGTCACTTGAAATATCAGACTTGGTGGTTCCTGTTTCTGGAATCGCACCTATGCCAGTGTATTTTTCTGGAGAAATGTAATTTGTCCTAATGCGACAAAAAGACTTTGACTCGAGTTACATATTCAGATGATACTACTGACATTAAATCAACAAACTACATCACCACAGGAACAAATTGGTACTCTGTAAATAGTGCAACAAGCCTCTTGTTCATATTTTTTATAATGCTA